ACTTCAAGCGGCCACTAAATTACAATCTTCAGTAGATTAGCTGCTAAATTTTGAGCAATTTATCAGTCCCAGTGTTTGTATGTCAATCGTCGATTAGCGAACAAGATTTTTTCTCGTGAAATAAAGGAATTGCAAGTTGTATTTAGATTTGTGTCTCCCTGCTATTCCTCAGATCAGGGACAACTGTGCTTTTTATGAGTTTTTTGCATCTATACAATGCAGAAAACGCATACTGACGAGAGGGTGTCTGTGTGTGCGCTGTGCGTCATTTCGATTTCTCATCTCGAGACCTACAAAAGCTGCAGGGGTGAAACTTTGGAAACATAATTTTCGTGCATGTAAGGGCCCCCCTCTCCAAAATGGGCGCTCTTACCAGCATGGCATTCACGCACGAGCCCGCCAAAGTTTTTTCGGCTAAGTTACTGGCTCGGAAACCTGAAACGCAAGAAGACTGGAATTTTAAGGGGATGTGCCCGTCCGTGTGGGTATTAATGAGTTAAACCCAGTTTTCGGGTATGCATGATACCCATATACGGGCCCGTGAATGTTTCTTGCGGGTGTTGTTAACTCGGGAACCAGGAAAGCTAGAAGGCTGAAATTTTAGAGAGATGCTTCTTAACAGTCCTGGCGGCTAGTCTCAAATTCTTTTAGCTAGAAATATCTGCCGGAAAACAGTGCCGTTAACGACAGAAATCTGCGGGAAACTATGCAAAAAACGCATCTTCGCACCGGCATTCGGTGCGCTGGCCATATATTGAATTTTCAGAAGCAATTTCGCGCACTACTCTAGAAGAGTTTTTAATGTGAGATATAAGAAAAATACCTTTATCGTTGTCATTCGGTAGCACATTTTCAATATCTTCTGTTTTGAATTTTTTCCCGCTGTTCAACGGTCCCTCATTATCGACATTTTTGCGTTTTCTCCTTTTGGGCATCTAAAAATTATCAGACCTGACTGAATTTGAACGAGAAAAAGCGTAATCCACCAATACTTATCGCGAAAATGCCCAGAACTGCCTGCTGCTTGGCTCTTGAAACAAACAGGCAAAACGTTCAGAGCAGGCCCGGCACAACTACGGCACCCAACAGCGAAACACAAGACATAACAAATACACCGGAAATAATCATGAAAAATAAGTCTGTCACCTAGAGGTATGCGTGATTCTTAAATAAGGCAAGTAAAAATTTTGGAAAAATTGCTAACTCAGCAACCAGAAAAGCTGTAAGGCTGAAATTTTAAGGAGATGCATCCTGTCCACAAGCAACTTAATGATTTCAAATTCAGCTCCCACGTTTACATGATATTCATGAGCAGGCGTGTGAAAGTTTTGGCGAGGAAATTGCTGACTCGAGAAACAAAAAGCTCGAAAGCTAAAATTATGGGGCAATGTTCCCTGTTCAAGTACTACTCAAAGATTTCAAATTCAGCCTCCAACTACGCGTAATTTTCACATACGGGCAATTAAAAGTTTTGGTGGGGAAACTGTTCACTGAGCAGGTATATCATTTTCAAAGAACGACCGTTAAAAGGAAACTGTTCATTTTTATGCGTTTATGCTGTGCAGCGCTATAACAACAGCCAGCAAAAACGCATACTGTCAGAGGCTTTGGATGTGTGGGTGTGTATGCGAAAGCGAGTGCATTTTGTCACCCACTTTCACCTCAGCAACCAGAAAAGCTGGGAGGCTGAAATTTCGGGTATACGTTCCTACCCCGCGTGTCACTTTCTCGTTTTAAATCTTCCCCCACAAGCGCTTAGGCCCCGCGTACGGACCTCCTCCCCTCCCAAAAAAACATGCAAATTTCTTTGGCGGGAAGCGATTTCACAAACCAGGTGGGATAAAAAGCTGAAATTTGCGAGCTAAAGATTTCAAATTCAGTTGCCGCGCACGCTTGTGCGACGCGTACGACCACGTCAAAGCTTGCGATCTGGCATTATGCTAACTCGAAACTTGCCGGAAAACAGTGGCTGAAATCTTGTCAAGATGTTTTTCTCCCTCACAGGAAATAGTATACCTAAAATAAGTACCGATTTGCACTTACGCCACGACTTAGGGCACTTCAAAGATATTTGCAGCGAAGTGGATATTTCGCTTGCCGGATAAGCTGCGAGGCTAAAAATTCGCTGGGATATTCTACTTTCAAGTGTGGTCTCAATTCTGCTTAGAGGTCGAATTCTCTCCAGGTAGGCACGAGAAATACTCAAGTTTAGTGAAAAATCAGAAACGAGTGCGTTTTGCAGCGAACGACTGCACTTATCCAAATATGTAAATGAACATTTCTAAACTTGGATTTTTATGCGTTTTTGCTTACATGCAAATTGCAAAAACGCATACTGCGACGACCCAGTCTGTATGTGTGTTGGTCTGTCCAGGTATTTCAACTCGGCACCCAAGCAAGCTCCAGCGCCAAAATTTTGCCTGTGGATTTCCGGCCAACTGACACCCCAGAACCGCGGTATCAGTCCTCACGCAAGTATGGATCCTGCATACGAGGGGTGGAAGTTTTGGCGGGAAAAAAAAACTGATAACTCGGGAACAAAAAAAGATAAAAAGCTGAAATTCTAAGGTTCTGTCCCCCGCCCACATATAACTCAAAGATATAAAACCCAGCCCCTAGGTGGTTCTCGCGTACAACCCCTTGAAATTTTTCGGCGGGAAAATGCCTAACTCGGGAACTAGCAGCTAGGAGGCTGAAATTTTCAGGGAATGGCCCCAGCAGTCCGTGTACTACTTAAATTTATCAAATTTAGTCCCCAGGCATACGCGTTTCTCACGAACGGCCGCGTGAAATTTTTTGGCGGGAAAATGGCTAACTCAAAATGGGAGCCGGGAAAGCTAGGAGGCTGAAGTTTTCAAGAAATGTCCCTAGCATAGGTACAACACAAACCTATCAAATTCAGCCCCTCAGTCATACGTGATTCCCACGTACAGCCCCGTGAAACTTTTTGGCGCGAAAATGACTAACTCGGGGACTAGCAAGGCTGGAAGGCTGAAATCTTCACGGGGTGTTCTCAGCCCATGTATGACTTTAAGTTATAAAATTCGGCCCCCAGGCATGCGCGGTTCTCGTGTACGGACACGTAAATTTTGGCGGGAAAATTACTCACTGAACAGCTGAGTTATTTTCAAATACAAACGACCGCTAAATGGAAATTGTTTATTCCCTTTTATGCAAAATTTACGATGATTTACGGTATTGAGCGCACAAGGTAATTGTGAAGAAACAACCATTCATGCAGTTAACCTAATTCAAGTCTGGTGCAAAAACATATGATCGCACCGACAAGCATGGTGCGTTCCAGTCTGGATTCTTTATGCAGTATATACGATGATTTAGGCTAGTGATCACAAACGG